CATGCTGCCATGCAAAGCTCTTATGTGTATGGTGGTTGCTAATAACTGGGCCAGGCTATTTTAGCTTCTAATTCATTAGGGGCAATTAGAACTCCTGAGCTGGCATTAATGATTTTCCTTGCTCAGCCAATATTTTCTTGCCGAATCCCTCCACCAGGACTTCACAATGGGTTTTTTTTTTCAGGCATGAAATCAAACCCGGTGTCCTGGTATCAGCTGTAACAGCTCTTTTTCTCTTTCCTAGTAGCTGGTGCAGTGCTGTGTTTGGCTTCAGTGAGAATGATGCTGGTAACGCACCGATGGTTTAGCTGTTGCTCAGCAGCACCTACCCTGATCAAGGACTGTTCAGTCTCTCAATGCTCTGCCAGTGAGGGGGGCGCAAGAAGCTGGAAGGGGGCAGGGACAGGACACCTGACCCACGCTATCCAAAGGGATGTTCCATACCACAGCACATCCTGCCCAGTATAGAAACTGGGGGAAGCCACCTGGAAGTGATGGATTGTTGCTTGCGTTGGGCTGGGCATGGGTCAGTGGGTGCTGAGCAATTGTATTGGGCATCGCTGGTGTTTTATGAGCACACTTTTTCTCTTGTTGTTTCAGATGATGATGATTATTGTTATTATTATTATCATTATTGGCATTCTTTCTATTATCACTATATTTTTATTTTGATTATTAAAATGTTCTTATCTCGACCCATGGGCTTTACATTCCTTTGATTCTGTCCCCATCCCACTCAGGGGGTGAGCGAGCGGCTGCTGGTGCTGAGCTACCGGCTGGGTTAAACCACAGCCCCCAGTAAACAGAATAAGGCCAGCACATGGCAAGGTGTAGTTTAGGTTCTGACAAACGGCTCCTCAAGCACAGGCAAACTCTCATGCCAGCCCCCAGGTTGAGGGGAGAAGGGAGGCCCGGTCTGATGCGCCCGGAGACTGAATGTGATGTTATTTCTGCTCTGCATGGCTAACCACCTGCAAGTTGGGAAGGATCTGTTACCGTGGAAAAACACCACGGGAGATGCTCAAAGTCCACCCCCCGCCTTGTCTAGCACTGAGGTACTTACATCTCACCCTTGCAGCCAGAGAGATGTAGAAATGTGCTCTGAAGGGCTCCATCCCCTCATTGGGAGCCCTTGAGGAGAGAGCTGCTGCAATGTATGGGCATGGGTTGATACTGGAGCAGGATGGGGAGACAGAAACCCACAGTGCCCAGCCAGCTCGCAGCCGGTGCTGGTCTCTGGTGCGCCCAGGGGGTTGGAACTAATGGGGATCATAAAGTGAAACACCCCACAACAGAGCCACTCGCACCCTTTCCCCGCACCAACAGCCCCAGCTACTTTCAAGTTCCCTGAGTGATTACTGGGTGCAAATCTCCATATTGCTTAATTACAACTTGGGTTTCATGCATATCTTCACAGTGTATTTATTGTGTGTTTGCAATTAATTCTGAAGTGCTCGCTCTGCCAGGAATGGAGCAGGGTGACTTTCTGAGATCTTCAGCTGAGGAATTTCCACTTGAAAACAGAGAGAGACGTGTGAGTATCTGTGTGGGAATAGGTGGCGTTGGTACCTGCTAAATGCATGCTGCAGGACACTCTTGTGAGCAAAGTTTGTAGTAGAATTATAATGAGCTGAGTTGCTTAGGTGTAATTAAAAGATGGGGCGAGAGCTTGCACCAAAATCCTTTCTTCCAAGCTTTGGGAAGCCTGCTAATAATAAGGCATAAACATTTAGCAGCTCAGCTGGAGTACAGTGTTCTCTTTGGTTAAACATTAAAGGGGCATTGTCAAGTGGTTTTAATTAATTAGCTCGGTTTTAAATGAAATCACATCAATTTGGAGCAGTTAGGCTCAGAATTAAAGTTGTTTTCACCTGGTGGGAAATGCCCTTCAAAGGCTGAACATCTTAATGAGAATTAAAAATGCCTTTAAGAAATGGCAGCCACATGGTTCCCTTTTCTTTATCCATTTACCCAGAGCATGGCCAGTATTGTGATGATCTGGCAGGACTGTAATTGCTGTAACAAGCCTAAATTATGTCCAAATTAGCTCTTTTTGTCTACATCCGCCCCAGCTAGCATCATTTACACAACATCTTCTAGACATGCAGTACCCAGAACCCATCTTAAACCTGGATCTTGAGGTCTTGAATATACTGTTCTCCCTCTTTATTAAAACTCACGGTGCAGCATAGCCCTTACACTAACAGGAGGAGGTGGATGCTACCCAGGTCTCCAGTCAGTGGAGGAGAGGGGTTTCTATTTTTTTTCTTGCTGTTTCAGGGAAACAAAGGCTATTCTAGATATTGACTTTTTTAAAGTAAAAAACCCCAAACAACAAAGAACAAAGTGAGAAATTAGGCCCTTGTTAGGCCAGCAATAGTGTGTACTAGCTTAGATGCTTTGTGTTAGATTTAGAAGGAGAAAAATCAACACAAAGTCCCTATGACACAATAGGCCATAACTGCTGGAAGCTGTTATGGGCTATTATGCAAAGCCGTTAGAGTCTATTGAGTAAATAATCTACAGATTAAAGCTTTCTAAGTACACAGTGACTTGATAGGTATCCAAAGAAGCCATTAGGATATGTCATGTCAATAAGAGGAGGATTAAGGTCCCTTATACTTGGTTCGGTGACAGTCTGTCTGCTGAAGAGTGTGAAACAAAAGCCGTCACCTTTGAAAAGCACCTGCAGTGCTGGGGCTGGGATGATTTCAGGGACTGTAATGATAGGACCAGAGGTGATGGGTTAAAACTGAAACAGGGGAAGTTCAGGTTTCCCTTGGGCTCAGCTACTTCTGGGCCATGGCTGGCCAAAGCCAGAGCCACCTGCCATGGAGCAAGGAGCAAATAGGCAGGTCTGGGGGCACCTTCCAGTCCTCTTTATGGAAATAAGGTGAAATCTGGGAGAAATGTGTGTGCAGAGAGCCTTGCTGTGAGGCAGCAGGACAGGACAATGTATAGCCCCACGAGCTCGTGCACAGGGAGGAAGCAGCATGCTCAGTGGGAAGCCAAGGGGCTATCCCCAAGCAAGAGAGATTTCTGTCTTCCTCCCTTGTCCGTCCATCCACCCATCCATCCATCCATCCATCCACCCACCCATCCACCCATCCATCCATCCATCCCCTGACAAGTGTCTTCTCTCCCCTTCTCAGGAGCCCAGCTTGGCACTTCCCCAGTTCCCAGGGCACCCCAGTTCCTCCTGGGGATCTTTCTGCACCTCTTTCTTTTGCAGGGGCCACCTGGCTAAAGCTTATCCAGCATCTCCCTCCTCCCAGCATTTAATTGCTCCAGGTTTCCAGTCCCTCTGCTGAGTCTAATATGAGCTATGTAAATTCCTCCCAAGAATGATAGGATTTTGACAGCCTGATTTGCCTTGCAGGCATCCTCAAACCAGCTCATTTTCTCTTCCCTGGAATTTTTGAGTGGTTGGGTGGCATTTGATTATCATTGGCTGGCATGTCTGAGCTCTGGGGTTGAGCACGGAGATATTTTAAATTTAATAGGTTTAAGATGTCATTATTTCCATGCTGATGAATTTATACTTGTAACCAGAGAAACTTAGAGCATTTAATGAACTTATTTAGATATCATAGTGCAAGCTTTAAACCCAATCCCCAGTACAAAATTAAATCATGTTGGATAAAAACTAACACCCAGAAGCAAAAACCGAGCTTGGTAAATGAATGAATTTCAGAAGACAGAATAAATACAGACATAAGGCACCTAGGGGACAGATTTACTAAGAGTTTTTGCACTGTTTTCAATGGAGCTTGTAATAGCATAGAAGTATTAAATCTGATTTACTAGAAAGGATTTGTATAGTATTTCATTGCCTGCTTCCCGGTGCAGGCAGCCCCTTACCCATCTCTCCTGGCTTGCTCATAGGACCTCTGGACGCAGCCAAACATGAGATGGAGAAAGCTCCAGCTTTGCTGAGGAGCACACAACTGCTTGGTGATCCTAAAGGCTTAACAGTGTGATTCTAGGAAAACCAATTCCCATTCCAAATGGGTCAATACGAGGCAGCACCAGTTGGGAGATGGACGCTGCACCCTCCCTGCTGTGGTGGGGGTTTGGGTTTGCCAAGGTAGACTTGAAACCTCCTTCCCAGCTTCCTCCTGCCACAGCTTTTGAACGTCTTTTAAACCCTTTTAAACAGACTTCCAGAGTTCATGCAAAGCAAGTGTCCCTGTGCTAATAAAGGGAACTGGATGATCTGAAGGTCCTTTCCAAGCGTAACTATTGCATGATTCTGTGATCCAGTTTTCAGCATAAGAGTTGGTTGTGTCATGTGGGGTCATGCTTTTGAAAGACCTTAAGTGACCTTTTCTTTTTGAGACTCTTTAGAGAGCTCAGGTGAGGAGAAGCAGCTCTTGACTGATTCCTGAGGACCTCATTCAAGGTGTAAGTGCTGATGAGCTGCTCTAGTAGTGACTGTTATCAAATTCAGCATCCCTATGAAAAAGAACCCACCCTGCCACAGCTCTATTTCATTCTAAATTCAGCTGGAGAAGAATGAGGAAGCAGATTAAGAAGAAATTGGAAAGAAGAAAAGTTGCCTCAACACTACCTACAAGCAGAGATTGCTCATTTAATGCTTACCAGAAGTATGCAAATGCACCAGAAAGCAAGCCAGCAGGGCTGAAGGACTCAAAAGAATCACCAAAAAGCCTTAATGGGACTAGGCTTTCACAAGATTAATCTTCTAAGGACTGGAAACAGGTAGGAAACCAGGAATAGGAATAAAGCCCTATGTCAGTTTGTACTGTGGGCAGAAATTAGAGTAGGAATCCTGCAGGTACCTGCTAGACACTGGCAGCATATTCAGAAATGAGCTGGACACAAGAGGTGAGCAGTGAGATGGTGAAGGTTGCAGGTGACAGATTTGTCCAGGGAAGCCAGGCCCAAAGCAGAGGCTTTAGGATCTTAGAGAAGTGCGTGCCTGGGTGACAAGAATGAGCAGGTGAAACTCAGTGCTGATAAGTGCAAATTAATGCCCCTGTTAGGCCAGGTCTAACTGCATATAAAGAATGATGGGCTTTGAATTAGCAATTACCCTTAAGAAAGAAAATGCAGCTGTGTGGCTTCTCCCCTCCAAATGCTGGCACCATCCTCATGGCCCCAGGGAGGGGAGGATGGAGAAAGGCTCCAAGAATGAGGAGCATCGCTGTGCACATTCAATCCTCCATGAAGGTCTGGTTGCTCATTGCAGAAACAGGAGAATGTACGAGGACAACAGCAGATCTCATTATATGCAGGTACCAACCTCTGTGATAGGAAAGCTTGATGTATTTAGGGCTTTTGCTTGGAAAGAGCATGACTGAAGGGGAAAGGGTAGAGGTCTGCAGTATCCTGAGTGCTGTTGAGGTGGACAGGGGTGAGCATGGTTTGAATGCAAGAGGGAAGCAGGCTTGTTTATTTATTTATGGACTTATTTTGAAGGGCAATGCTTAGCTTAGGGTCTGTCCAGAGCTGGACAAGCAAGATGGTGAAAGGCCTCAAGGGTAAGGCTTAGGTGCAGTGGCTGAGATTGCTTGGTTTCTTCAGCTTGGAGAAGAGAAGGCTGAAGGGGGACTTCATTGCAGTCTGCTCCTTCCTCAAGGTGGGCAGTGGAGGGAGAGCTGCTGATCTCCTGTCTGGTGAGCAGTGGTAGGACACAAGGAAGTGGAATGAAGCTGCATCAGGGAGGTTCAGATTAGACATTAGGGTGGTTAACTGCAACAGGCTCCCCACAGCACCAAGCCTGTCAGAGTCCAAGGAGCAGGGAGCTGCACTTTCCAATCCTTATCCCTTCTAACTCAAGGTATTCTCTGATCCCATGATCAGCCACAAGTGGAACGGGTCACTGATTTTCCAGCAGACCAATTTCATGAGCCCCTTTCTGTTGGAAAATGCTGATTCCATCTGATCAGGATGCTCGGTGGGAACGTGTCAGTGCCATCAAAGCCGGCAGCAGAAGCCAGACATCTGCCTGGTCTCCTTGCCTGCTGCCCAGCTGGCTGGCTCCCTGGGACAGCTGCACCCCATGCTGCAGCCAGAGCCCATTTGGTCTTTCTTCACTTTGTCATTGTTCTATTTCTATTGCATTTTCCCCTCCATTTTCATCTTTAGATTTTATACCCCATGTACTTACAGCATTAGAAAATCCCCTGTTGCCTGTCAGAACATCAGGTGTCAAATCAAAGTGCAAGTCACTCTGTGAGAGTAATTTCTAATTTAAATGAGTTTCAAGCATACATCTTAATGTATAAAACCCCACAGATGTAAAGAACATGCACAGTAAAAAGTTTGGCTTGTTTTTATTTGTATATCATACCATGTATTAATATAAAGTCATATTTTATGCTGTATAGAGGTTCAGTCCCTGAAAACAAAATGATACTTTAAATCTCTTTCAATCTCCCTGGGCTGAATGGAAATGGGTTTTTTTCTAGGATGCAATTTTAGCATTCCAATTCCTGGGCAATTCAGCATTTTGCTGTGTTGGGCTGCTTTGTTTCACAGGTGTTTCCATAAAGCACAGGAATGATAGAATGGGTGTTCTCTCTGCTTAAATGGAAATACCTGTTCTCAGCCTGAATGGAGGCTAATGCATCACACAAAATGGGTGAGTCAGATTTCAGAGGCAGGTGGAAAATCAGCCTTATCTGGGGTAAAATGAGCAAGTAAACCCCCATCCCTAGGCAACGCATCACTGGAAACAGGAGCAGGATAAAGTACATAAAATACCCGTTGTTGTAATCCAAGATGGGAAGAAAGCAGAAGAAATGGGTAACTTAGTGAGCCGGGATCATTTCCAGCGTTTTTGTTTTGCCTGCATCAACTAACACCTACAACAGAGCAGAAATCTGCACCTGGATGGGTATTGCCTGTGCTCTGGATGAGGCTGTCACTGGCAGGAGGTGGTACAAGCTCTCATGAGATGAGCAGCCCTTGCTCATCACTAGGTAAGCAGCATCTTTGCAAGTCTCGGCAGGCTTGTTTTGGTTGGAAAGGCTTAAGTTGGGTCCATGCAGTAACATAAAATCAGATTAACAGTTAACCTGTGTACTTGCCACCTGGATCACCGGAGCCTCCCCCAGCCACTGAACAGACCAGCATTCCCGAGGTCAGAGCAGTGCTGGCAGGTTGGGATGCAGTGGGATGCCTGAAGGAGGTGCCAGCATTTGGGAGGGGATTCCGGGATATAGGGAGTTACTTATTATGCCTTCAGGTTCTTTTTCTTCTCCTTTTCCTCATCAGGGCACTGGAGGGAACAGGAACATTCTATCTCGTTTCCTAATTTTCCTGTCAGCTTCCTGGCTTTCAAAATGCTTGCAGCAGAAATCTATAAAATGAGGATGAGGGAAGGAACCTTAATACCACTGTAAATCTCCAAAATGGATGCAGAAACACAGTACTCAAATAGGAGTAAATAAAAGCAAGGAGAGATTCATTTCAGTTTTCCCTGTAAACCTCCTGGCAGCTTGGAATTATTCAGAAAACAACATTTAACTGAGAAAAAGGGAACCCTGTAAAATGGTAAAGATTATACTGTAAAGCTAAGCACCCTCCATAAATCAGAGCTGGGAACATTGCTAAGTTATAGGAACCTGCAGATGGCTGTCATTAAAGGGAAAGAGCCTCTGCTGGCTTGGCAGGCCACGCTGCCTCGTGGTGCGGAGCTACAAACTGAGCTGCTTGCATGGGGGAACCACAAAAGTGGTTTTAAAACGGGGATTTCGACCAGAAGCCACGACAGCTCTTCAGCAGGGCTCAGGCTTATTGCGAAACCACAGTGGTGATTTCAGCTCTGATTTAGTCTCATAAGCCTTCTGTGTTTAAAATAATGCGATGATAGTTTTATTGTTATTGCATGTCTGGGGTGAGAAGGGCAGGCATAGGGCAGGATGCTCCAGCACTGCTCTTGGTGTTACCTCCATCATAGAGAAGGATAACCCCTGCCTGTCCAAAGGGGTGAGGGCAGCTGGACCACGTAAGGTGCTGGAGGCCCTATCTCCCACCTGGGAATGTGCTGGGGCAGCTTCTTCCCTGCTCCAGGCGCATTTCTCTGTGCTCACATGAGGCATCGCTGGTTTTCCCCTTAGGGTTGAACTTGTCTGGGGCTTTGACTTGAGAAACAGCGGGGGAGATGCTCAAAACAAGCCTGCAGAGCTGAAAATAGCACACACCGGCTGCTGCTGCTTTCAAGATAAAGATGTCACCAGGTGAGCTCCTCTGGAATCCTATATTAAGCCTCACCATGTCGTAGCATCGAGACCCTTCAGCCCCCATGGGTTGGTGTCATCACTCTAAGCCGTGCATCGCAAGGTGTGCAGGGATGTCTGTGCCAGCACTCAGCCACGGGGTGCTGGGGAGAGCTGGGGGGGGACCCTTGGGCTGTGCTGGCTCCCTGCTTCCAGTCACTGCTTCCCAGAGGCACATCACATCATCACACAAGAACCTCCACGGAGACTTAATCCTAGATATTGCCCCAGTGCTCCCAGTGGTGGTGCTGTGCCAGGAGGTTCAGATGCAGGTCTGGCAAGGCAAATAACCCAGTGTGTAACAAAACCTCCACCAACATACCCTTGTTCTGAGGCTGGGAATGTTTTTCCCACTCAGCTGCACTTACCAGGGCTCATGGGCATTCAAGGCCACCATCTCTGACAAGGTCAAGAGCCTTTCCTGATGCAAAATGGCACAGAAGCTGATTTTAATCTCACCCCCTTGCTCTTCCATTTCTATTGTACCATCCTGACTTTCCTCCCTTCTCAGCATTTCTGCAAGAGCATCATTTACATGCCAGTGCTGGGCTCACTGCTCACCAGGCCAGCGGCTTTCCCAGGTGCTAACTCCAGGCTCCCTGTGATAGCTGTAGTCACAACACTTCCCAAACACGTGGCCAGAAGGAACTGGATCCCACAGTGTTTTCCTCCTTTGTCTCTGGGTGAACTCAAGAAATGCTCCCTGCATCTCTAACAACTGTGTTCAGCTCCTTGTCACAGCCCCCTTTTGTGCCTCAGTAAAAAAAGGCATCACCAGCAGATGCAGTTTCTTTTAGGGCTGGAATAGTGTTTATTTTACTGGAATTGTACTCCATTATCTGGTGGCAAAGAGACTCGGCAATTTATACTGGCAGCACAGAATGTACTGAGATTGGCAGTGGCTGGGCATTCACAGCTTGCTACCCAAGGCAACTGGGGCTGTTCAGCCTGGAGAAGACAAACTGTGTGGAGACCCCAGAGCAGCTTCCAGTGTGTGAATAGGGGCTACAAGGATGCTGGAGAGGGACTCTTCATCAGGGACTGTAGTGCCAGAACAAGGGGTGATGGGTTCAAACTGAAACAGGGCAAGCTCAGGTTGGATATAAGGAAGGTTGCCCAGAGAAAGTGGTAAATGCTCCATCCCTGGCAGTGTTCAAGACCAAATTGGACAGAGCCTAAGGTGACATGGTCTAGTGTGAGGTGGCCCTGCCATGGCAGGGGCTTGGAACTGGGTGATCTTAATGTCCAACCCAAACCATTCCCATGATTCTATGATCCTAAGGAAAGTTAGGAGCGTACTCATGTATCTCACTGCAGAGCAGCCATAGAAGAACTGTATGGTTGCTATCAATCAATCTTACATTAGTAACACTGTAAACATTTTTTAAGATGGTAAAAGATTCAATAAATCTGCTTTATTCTGCTTCATTGTAAGGTCCAGTTCTTCCTTTTCATCATGCAAACACCTTCCACGTAATGGAAGGGATATTGCCTTTGCTATTCACAAATCACACCTTGAGCTATTATTTGTAATTTTCAGTGCCTGCCTTCTTACGTGGTGTTCATAAAAAGAAATTAAAGTGATTTACAATAGTGAGAGATGGAACAAGCCTAAAAGGAGATGTGACTCATTAGACATTAACCTGTGGCTGCTGGAAGCAACCTGCATCACTCAGGAAGATGCGCTGTGATTTTCCAAAGCGGTCTAGAGGATGTAGATGTGTTTTTGCGGGGTTTCAGCACCAAATGCCTGTGTTTCATCTTAAAACACGAACCACCAGATCTGACTTTATCTTTTATAAGCCCAACCAAGAAAATCAGATTGAAGGGTCCCAAAACTCCGTTCTGACCTGCTGGTCTTCCTTATAATATTGCTCTAAAATGGTGTCCTTTAAATACTGTGTCACTGAGTTCTTCAAAAGTGAAAAAGATGTTTGTATTTGCATTTAAAGTGAGGAAATTATGCTTTGGTTGTAATTGACAGTGCTTCAAAACTATAAATATTAGTTATGGTTTGAGTGCTTAGATGCTGTAAAGAAAGGATTTGTTCCTAAAGAAAGACTTTGCTTTGGACGAACCAAAACTCCTCTTATCTGTCCTGTTAACAGGTATGAAGTGGGCTTCACTGAGCAAACGAAGAAGAAATAAGAAGGACAACCAAGGGTTTAGTTTAATAAGCAAGGAAATGGACGCCAGCAGATGCCGGTCCATCTCCTGGAGTCATGGATGGTGCTGGGAACAGGTGAGTGAGTTCCCGCCTGGCCATTTGGTTCGGTATCTCCTGCTGCTTGGTTTCCTCTTCCTGAGCACCCACAGATTTCCGCCAAACTGTTTAGTGCATCTCCCTAAGAAAGAAATCCAATTGCTTGTCAAGCAGCAGCACTTGCTTCTGTTCCCTCCGAGCAGACAGGGTCTGTAACGAATGACTTGCATACAGTAATTACAGTCTATTCCTTCCTCTCTTGCATTGATTATTCACATGTGGAAAGAAAGTTCTCTCCTGAATAACAGAAAAGATCTGAAGAGCCAAATATTGGATTTTCCCCCCCCTCTTCCCCCTCTCCTTTGTTTTCTGGGTACCATTTGCAGACATGGTATCCTGAAGAGATGAAACATCTATAACAAACCCCCCTGTCAGAGTGCTTGTAGTTTATGTTCATTTAAAGGACAATTTTGGGTCACCTCTTTGTATTTTAATAGTCAAAAATATTTTGCATAATAATTTAACTCCTCTCTGCTGCCTGTAATGACTATCTGCATTTTCTGATGGATGTTTCTATTTGTTTCCTGTGATTTACATGACCTGACATCTCATATAATGACCTTCCCAGCGCAAATACCATTTGTGATACTCTGCTCAGCGTTAATCTATCATTTGATGACCTTACAAGTGCTGGGGCCACGGATTCAATCAGCGAAATGTTTCAGGGTGTAATTAATTAATTTTCCCCCTTCCCACTCTGCAACTGTTCGCTTAAAATCTGACGAAAGTGATGCTTTTTCATAACACTTCTTCAATACATATGGTTTGTTTGTGTAATCAATCACGCTAAGTTGGGAAGTTCTTAGTATTCATGGCTTTGTCTTGCTTGAAACTTCCAAATGTTTGTTTTGCAGCCTAATTTAATAGTTTAATTAGGCAAACAACCAGCTACTGCACTCCTTAAAGTACACTCGGGTTGGGATTTAAAAACGCTGTTTTGCCTTTGCTAAAGCTGGGCTGGATCACACTGCACAGGCAGCAGAGCCGGGCTGGCCGTGAGTGGCACTGCTGAGCCACACCATGGCTTGGCACAAACCATGATGGATCTGTTGGCTCTCAGCTCTAGGCTTCTCATCGAACAAAGAAGAGTGTTTGTGGTCTTAGGGTTGAGCAGCCTTTGCTTGCAGCCACGTTGCTTAAAAGCTTGGGTAAATGTCAGAAGTGAAGGGTGTGGGTGACGGCTCTAGGATGGAATTCCCTATTCTGGGATTTTCGTCTTCACAGGAAAGACATTGGCTGCCATCCCCACCCTCGTCTATGTTACAAAGCGTCTGGCGTTGTATCTCTGCCTTTGACCTTATGCTGTGTTTTGTAGGTCTTTGTTAATAGAAGGAGGGGTAATTTTGTGTGTATGCAGCCATCTTTTCACCTAATAATGTGAATTGCTGTCTTACAGATGGCTCTGGACCCTTCCTCTGGGACTCTGCTAGGAGAATGCGATGTGGTCTTTGCCAGCAGCACTCAGGACTAAGCTGCTGAGGCAGCTTGGAAGGAGCAGAAAGCCCTCTTGGTTCAAAATGAATTCCCTGAGATGCTGTTGTTATGTTAACAAGTTTTGTTTTTATCCTATCAAGGTCTTGTGGAATCTTTCTATTGACCATTAAGGCAAAGCAGGAGAAAACATGCTGAAATTGAGCACTGAATGCTTAGGGATGGAAATCCTATAATGCTATGATTCAATTTCTCTTCAGGTAAATATGATGGTTTCTGCAATCCTGCTGCTTGGCTTACTGAAGCCAGGGGAATGACTCAGAGGGAACACAGAGATGTTGGGGAGGGGGAGGGAATAAAAATGGGGGGAATATTCCAAATCCACCTGATAAATTTGGCTTAGAAGAGGCACAGGGGTGTCTTTAAAAGACATCAGCTCTTCAGTGCAGGGCAGTAGGGTTTGGAAATAATGCTGGTGGCATCTCCCTGAGGTTGGTAGCTTTTGTAAAGGGCATCACACAACAGCAAAATCTCTTTAGAGTGAGGGGTTAAACCAGTGCTGGGAATGCACTAGATGAGACTTGGCTGCTAACCCAGTCCCTGCTTGCCTTGTGGACCAGGGTTATCCTGTGTGAGCGCGGCCTGCATAGGGAGAAAGCTTTGGGAAGAATGTCTGGTAGGGACAGAGGCTGGGAAGTGATTCCCGAACATGGCCTCAGTCAGTGCTCCCTGACTTGCTAGAAAGATCTCTTTCTCACAAATGATGTTTTCTTTCCACCGTTTTGAGCACACTGTGGGTAGTAAATCACAGCAACGCTTGGTTGGCATAATGGACTGATGTGAGGTGGTGTAGCAACATATTTTGCTCATAGACTGTAACCATTATTTTGATGGAAAACAGGCAGGGAATGCAGTGGTCTGATGTGCTTAGGGACAGCATCTCAGACCCATCCAACTCCACAGTGCAGCTCACGCCTATAAACGCACATGCAGAATTAAGGCTTCATGTGTAATTTCACTTGGAATTGGCTCTATCCAGCAAGAGGTATGGTCAATATTGGATATAAGACCTACAGCTCTGCCATACGGACTGTAGCCATTGCTACAGTGGGAGAATCACTGCTGCTGCACAGACTTCCTGCAGTGGTATTTGGGCTATGTAGGATCTGTGTTTTCTTTGAAATGTTAAAGATGAGGAAGGACCAGTCCCAGCTAAGAACTAATTGCTTGGAGCAAAAATGTCTCTATAGTGAGAGAGTATGGGAGTAGTTTCTGAAACTACAAAAGAGTCACTGTGCTTTTTCCTCTATCAGCAGACTTTAATGAAATTTTGAAGGGGGGAAAAAATTGCTTCTTGGCTTAAAGCATGAGCTGTGTTATTAATCTCTGCAAAGGAGTTTGATAATTGAAACGCCAGTGGAACGGCAGCTCTACTGACTCACATCATGTCACACCAGTATCTACCATGAGCATATATGAGGCTACATAATGCTATGATGTCATGACTGTGAGAGTTCCCAATAATGTAGGCAGGTTGAAAACTATGGCTTACATTCTTAGCTAAATTCAGTTCCTTTAAAATTGTTTTTTTTTGGCCATCCTTATGGTGTCTGGTTATCTGGTATGGCATGTGGCAAGCGGTCGTGAGATCCCACTTGCAGCACCGTGTGCAATTCTGATGTCCTCAACATAAGAAGGACATGGAGCTGTTGGAGCAAGTCCAGAGGAGGCCAAAAGGATGATCAGGGGCTGGAGCACCTCCCATATGGAGACAGGCTGAGAACATTGGGGCTGTTCAGCCTGGAGAAGTTCAGGTTGGAGGTAAGGCAGAAGCTCTTCCCTGTGAGGGTGCTGAGGCGCTGGCACAGGGTGCCCAGAGAAGCTGTGGCTGCCCCATCCCTGGCAGGTTATCCCATGAGGTCACACGCACTCCAGGGGTTGCCTTTGGTAAGTTATGGGCATGGCTTATGCTGCCTGTTGGTACAAAATCATCACCCTGCGCTGTCACTGTTATCAGTAGCTTGGAAAAGAAAAGCGATGCTAGTTCTTAGGCTGGCAGTGCCTGTGGACTGAGCTCAGTACTGCCCATTAGGGAAGTCGAGAGCGTTCCCCATGATGCTTTCCTCAACCTCTGGGCCAAACTGTGCATTTGAAAGGCAATTTCTTGGCCAGGTTAGCTTGGGGACTTCTCAGCCAAGCCAGAAGCTCAGCGTTTCCCAGCTCATCCCTGTCTCCATAGCTTATCCTGGGGTTTGTTCTTGTTTTGCTGGTTTTGCTCCTGTTTGTGCAGCCCTAGGGAAAGCAGGAACTGCTCAGGTCTGCTCTCTGGAATGCTGACATTCAATAGTAACTTTTATCCTGATTTCTCTACATTTTTCTCTTCTTGAGGTTTCAAAAGAACAGTGAAGAAAGAGACATAAATTACCAGTCTCAGCCTGGGCTTTTCTGTGTGATTAATATACACCAACATGCCTTCATTATCGCCCTGGTTTGTACCTACCTGTCAGGTATGTAAAGCAACGCCACTATCAGAAAATCTCATCTTCCTCTCCCCTTTGCTTGGAAGTAGGTGAATGTGCAAAGAAAAAGGACTGTGAGAAACAGGCTTTTAAACTAGTGATTTCCTTTCCTAAATGGGAATGCCAGTGTTTGAATGGACAGGAAATGCAGTGAGCACTCTCCCTGCCTCATCCTGTTCACCCAGGCACTGGGAAACTTCGGAAAGATGAGAGGTAAAGAGGAGATGGGAACAGAAACCCCTCTGGGAAGGTACTGCCATGCTCCTGCCTGCAAGCCCTGAAGTAATGCCAGTTCCTTCTGGGTTATCAGATTTCTGCCTTGCCTATTCAGACCTAGCACTTTGCCTTAAACAAAGCACGGGTTTCACTTGCGGAGCAGATGCATCTCCATGAGAAGGGCAGTGCAGAGGAACCAGACCTTCCCTGGTCCCTCAGACCAGCACCAAGGTGGTTTCCCTGTGGAGATGCGCTCCAATTCGGACCCCTTATGGGTACTCAAAAAGCTCTTCCTTGAAGATATTGAGGAGCCACCATCGCCACAGAGACCCACATTTTGCTGCTATCTCCTGATCCTGAGAACTCATGAAAAATGACGCCCTGGTTGTATTGACTGGTTTAATATCTTCACTTTGTATTTATGGTACATGCAGTTCTTTGTGCGCCTTCTAAATGTTACATTAAAATACTGAGTGGCACTAGCTTTAAGGAGTCGAAGCACAAAAGCTCCTTCCCTGCTCTTGTCTCCCATCGTGAAGAATTTACAAAACTCTCAGGGAGGCTCTTGAATTATGGCTCTTCCTCTTCCTCATGATGCATGGAGATAATAAATGTATTATTAATCTGCCCACTGTCAGAGATCTCTGCTCCCTCTCTCTCTGTCTGTGCACAAGGAGACAGACAACAGGAACAGTAGACGTATGCAGAATTGCCTAGTGTGTGCTCAGGCTGGTGAATCACCAAATGCTGGGGATGATGAGATGCCCGGTTTGAACCGGGGCTGCAGGGATTTGGTGTAGGAAGGTATCCGTCAGGAGCATCTTGGTCCTGGACCAGAGAATTCTTCAGATGTTTGCAGGAAGCTCTTTTAAAACATTTATATGTATATTTCAAAGGCCATTGGTTTGGGGACAGCCAGCTTGAGACACGGTGAACTGTGCTTTGAGAGGCCTCTGAAGTTCAGCCTGTCTAAGGCGTGTGGGTCAGTGCCTGCAGGGAAGGGAGTGGGAGCAGGTTGGGTACAAGCCCCAGCACTTGGTGGGGGTGCCAGGAGCAATGTGGCTTGAAGAAACTCAGGCAAAGGGGACATCCCATCCCATCCCTCCCTGAGCTCCTTGGTGTGTGCAGAGCAGCCCCTGCACATCCACTGGATGCACAGTCATATTCCTGCTGGGACTGTGCCCTCGTCCTGCTCCAGACCAAACAGTGCGGCTCTTTGCCACTGCCTGCATCTAGGAAGGGGGAGATCGAGTAGGATTAGGATTCAGCAAGGGCTTGTTTTAGCTTCAGAGAGCAAGAGCCAAGGCGGGAGTCGACAGACGTGAACGTGTCTGCGTCGTGACTCAGCTCCTGTGGGATGCATCCATCCCTGGGGAAAGCCCGGCGGCTCGGAGCGTGGCAGCGTGTGCCTGCATCCTGCCAAGACTGCTGCCAAGCTCCGTCTTGGCTCCCAGATGAAGAGGGATTTAGTCTGGATGTGTGAGTACAGGCTTTCCCACGGGGGCTGTGAGGTGCCTCACCTAAGGAGAGGGATTGTGCTCACAAGGGACAGAACCTTGGGGAAGCAGGGAGGGACTTGCTAAGGAGAAAAGCTTGGGCTGGAAGGTGAGACCTGAATTGCTGCAGATGCTGATTACCCTCAACACATGCTTGGTCCCCCCCATAAAGATGATAGCCCATGGTCTTGCGCTCTGTTTGCACTGTACATCCTCCTTGCAGCTCAGGATGCTGGGATGCCTAGCAGGACACAGGGTGTTAGCAGGTTCCAGTGTCATCTGCGGGTATCACAGCATGGGGATGTTGTTTGCTTGTTCTGTTGTGCTTCTCCCTCCTGTATGGATCAGTTGCTTCACCTATGTGTAGCTCCAGTGGGAATGCTCTCACTCTTAGATGGTATTCAAAAAGAACTGGTTTCATATCATGTCACACCACACGGCTCATTGGAGGTTTGCTTTGTGCAGCTCCCTGAGCTTAGCAGCAGAGCTTTACAGCTTCTAGAAATCCCAGATTTATCTGCATGGAGACAACCAGTATATCTCACCCACCTCCTCCTCCAGATTGGAATATTTCCTATCAAAAAGCCTGCTGGAGTATCTGGACATTAAGCACTGCTTTGCTGTGCAGCAGGGATGATCATACCTGTGTCATACATA